ACTTTGGTTTTATGCCAAATAAACACAGCTGATTTGTCATACAAAAATCAGCGAGCCACGTGTAGCCTTGGAGGAAAGCTTGCCCGGTCTCGTAGAGCGTCGAAGCACACTGCCGGTTCAAGAATGTGCCATGGGTGTAAATCGTGTCAAACCATTTTGCTGAAAGCCTGGACGCAGACAGAATCACTGATAGCACATTTTTTTTCTCTCCATCTGTTTCCTCAAGCATAAAGCCAGCTGCAATTGTACCAATCCATTTGCACAAAAGCAACGTATCTGAGCCCTTGGTGTTGCTCCACACGTATGACCCAGCATTTTCATAGTTGAAGAGAGCCAATGAAAAGCTTCGTAGCGCTGGAGTTTGTTGCGTAGTCTTGCACCACAATGAAAACAAGCTGTGGGCATTCACTAAAAGAACACGCATGTCACCAGATCCAAAATACTTCCATTTCATGAATAAGAAGATGCAGCTTGCTGAAAAGTCACGGTACACCCCAAGACGTAGAGTATGAAAACCATCGTTCTTGTAGATCCACTCTGGCCTTTCATCATCAAAAGGAATTTGGTACAGACATGGCAGCTCACTATTAGACCATGGACGCTCCACATGTATGGTCCCAGCCCAGCAGGGAACTGTTGTAAAGTCTTCTGCGGGCAGTCCTTCTTGACCCGCCAAGCACTGATGGCACGAGTTGGCATCCTGAATCCTACCCATGTGTTCAAAGCCCCTGGTAAGGCAAGCTATCTTTGATATCCACTTTAAATCACCTTTCGATCCCACAATGACGACGCGATAGGTCACTCCTCCAACTTGGATTCCCGAATGAAACAATGTTTTAAGTTCACCAGCTAAGAAGGTGATGAGTTCGCAGGTCAATCGCTTGTAGTTGTTCGCCATGGTCCCAGGAAGAAGAAATAATGGGAAATGTTGAAGGAAAGAATGTCCCTTCATGTTGTGGCGCAAGCAGTGAACAAAGGGATGTTGATACCCATCTTCTCCATAAGGTGCATTCCACAAACCAATAGGATGACAGTCATCACAGTTTGATGAGTGGCCCTTGATACCAATCTCCCAAAGAAAAAGCGGCATGTGTAGGGTGGTACTGTGCAAACCCCTTCCACCATGCGAGCAATGACTGTTGAGCTTTGTCTCTATCCGGAGTCCCAAACAGAAGTACTGGGTGGTTTTCCAAAAAATAGCTCAGCAAATGCTTCGGGTGCAGGTAGTGAATGTCCAAAATGGAGCCATCATCACATGTGTAGTTGAAGACATTCAGGGGCACCTTCCCAGCAATAGCTGCTCTCTTGACAAGCCTATAGGCATTCCTAGCAACATTAAAATTTCGACTAGTTGGCCGGCCAGTCTCACCAATGTCATGGCGTGCTGCTGTTTGCAGCCGATGGCACAATTGAGCAGGGACCTCAGCAGGCTAGCATTGACAGGGTTTTTTTTGAGAAATGTGGGGAAAAGCCACCATCAAATTGAACCAAAAGGATATATGTTCTTCAAATTGTATAATTAAGGACATTTCTTGGGTAGAATGATCACAGAAGTTGGGGATTGATTTTTCAAAACTTGTCTATTTCCTGGGGCCCCAAGCACCATCCGAAATTGCTTCGGCATATGCTTCCACAAAGGGACGCTTCCTGGTATTCTCTGTAGGTGTGGTTCCTGGCATGTGCCGCTGTTTGGGATGATCCATTCTGCATCCGGTAGAGCATGGATAAATTACAACGGATACTGTTCGTACATGTTGTTGGTGCATAACTTGTTTCTCCACATCGCTGAAACACATGCTAAATGGGACACAAGGTGTGGCCCATGGGGATGTCAGATTTCAATGAAACAAAGTGAATTTGCTGCCTGGGCTTCGCTCTTAAAAAAGCAAGTCCTGGTCTTGCAACCGTAACTGGTGCGGTATCAACACACATGTGAACAATAGATTGGTGAAATATTTTGACCCATGCTTTCGCAATCATTTTCACCAATGAGTTAAAATGGTTTTCATCACCCATCACATGCTGTTGACAAATGCCGCATGAGGGACCTGTCTATGCTCACACCATTTCATTTTTTTGGCCTGGTTTTGGCCTTCGCATCTGCCTTCGCCTTGGGCGCGGCCTTGGCTGCGGCCTTCTGCCTTGCAGAACGGGCAGATTCCCGTCTCACTGGCTTCTCAGGTGCTGAAGCCGCTGGCTTTGGCAACACAGGCCTGCAAGCTGGCTGCCCAGATAGTTTGGGCTCAGTGTGGATAGGACCCATGTTGTACACCAACTTGTTTATCCTTTTTTGTCTTGATGTTTGAAACCCATGCCCCACCTCATGCGATACTCCAAGTTCATACTTTCCACAGCCCTCACGGGAGGACCAAATCAAGAGTAACAATCACTAAGATTCAAAATCACATCACACACCAGAGATTGCAAACACAGGTCTAAGATAAATGTGGAACACTTGGGCCAAAACGTGACCCGGGCTTTCTGGTAAGCAGTTTCCAACTCTTCTTCCATCCTTAGGCGTGGGTATGCTCAAAGCATTACTAGGTTTACACATACTTAATCATACTTGCATCGAATCTGGAAGTACTGCTGCAACTATCAATTCAAGATGAGGGGCAGTTCACTAAACCCATTCACGACACCCTGGGTGTAGATGGAATCGATTGACTGGCCGTGGCTTCTCAGGTCAGCCATCACGGAGATCAGCTTGGACTTCATCCTGTGGTCAGGAAGCTCAGGTATCTGTAGGAACAATTGGTGACACAGAAGCTCAAAGTTTCAAGACCCACCCCTAGAATGGGACGAGTTAAAACAAGTAGCGCATCTTGGAGCTGGGTGAGATTCTGTGCTGCTTCAAAGCGAGCAAGACCTTTCTGCAATTTGGCCTCCCTCTTCGCAAGGCATGTCCTAAGCAAATCTTGGGAAATAGTATCAATGTATTGTGGAGCTATGACATCAAAATGTCCGAAGCAAATCTTGGTAAATACATGTAATTTAATTGTGAAGTTACAATATCATTTTTTGACAAATAATGTGGTTCACATGATATTGTCTCATGAAGGAGAGGTTCATCATTTTCGGTGCGCAGCACGAGGGTAGTTCATCCAGCTTGACCTCAGGCAAGCCTGCCTTTTCCCTCTCCTTCTTTGCTCGGCTCTCAGCAGCGCGGGCTTTGCATTCCGTGCTGCTAACCTCCAAATCGGATGACTCATCAGTAGAACCTGGCCAAGGAGATTGGGACAATGTAGCCAGTTTCTGGGTAAAATGGTTCATGCAAATTCTGTTGTTGAAAATCACCATGAAAAACTAATAGATAGCCCTGGCCTTCGTCAGACTTTGGTTTCTTGACACGATCATTCTTGTTGCCCTTTTTGGAAGGCTTAGCACCATCTGCAGAGGAATCAACTTTGGCCACGAAATCCCGACCCCGTTTGTCTCCAGGGCCACCCAAGCACATTGGCTGATCAAATGCCGCCAAATCCGCCCCTGAACCCTCCTCTTGCCAAGCAAGCTTGCGCTTCATAGAAGAGGTGCTGCGTCGCCTTATACACGCACAAAACACACACAATCCCAAAAGACCCAGTATGGACGTGGATACTGCGAATTATACGTATAAGATTTGGGCTTATAAACACATGGGGGCCTACAGGAGTTCCTTTATGGAAGATGAGCTAATGATAGTACATGCAACTCCTTCTCACTTAGCCATGGTAATTTCCAGAAAATGGGCATGCACTGGTCAGTCATCAAGCCAGGGTCATGGGTCATGTCTAGCTCAATGTTTACATTACCAATCCCCTTCCCCTGTAGGCAAGAAGCTTTTGACTGGCTTTGACAGCTGTCTCTGCCCAGTAGAGGGTCACATCGTCTTGGTAACGATCACGCCTCAAGTGTGCGCAATAAATTTGATCCCAATAAGATACACTGGTTTCATTCTATCATTGCTTGAGTGACTTAAGCAATAAACAATCAAAGCCCTGGTTTCCAGCTATCATTGATAAAACAACTTGGGCAATGACCGAACCAGAGCTCGAGGGTTTTCCAATGCAGCTTTGACCACTGCCTGCACTTTCTGCCTTGGTTGCAGTTTGGCAATCGTAGTTGTAAGATATTATAAATGAATGCTTATAATTAGCCACAGCCACCATCTAAATTTGATAGCTGGTATTTAACCCCAAGATTGGCCAGAATGATGAAACATGGTGGATTAAGTACGCTATGGCCTATGGCAATAACTTCCAATGAATAATGCAACGATTTGGAATGATAGCACCCAGACTTCTAACCCAGATACTCGCTCCAACCCCACACGGTTTTCATCGCGTCCTCGCTCATGTACTCACCTTCAATCGTCAGGTCATTGGCAAGCAGATCTTCCTGGATCAATTCAACCTCCATGACAAAGACATCCTGCGGGAGGGATTTGGGCAGGCTTGGTATGACCCAGTGTCCAATGATTGAACCTGCTAATCCATTATGGGCTTTTGGGGTCTATGGGATGCAATGGGTCCAACCACAAAACCATGGATGACATAAAACATGTAGATGAAACCCAGAGGATAAATTTTGTACATTTGGATTCACACACCTGTGGTGATCCTAAGCACATTCCATAATGACCTGTTTGAACACATGTTTATTCAATATCATTGGAACTGGGATGGGTTACCAACTTTATTCTCAAAGCGCCTATTCAATAGTTATGAAAACATCAGCATTTACCCCCCTGGTTTTGCATTCATTGAACTTGTGGTGAGACTTCAGGTGTCTATAAAACCAGTAGACTTGGGATTCATTGTTACTATCAACATGGTAATTTTGTGCCAATACCTCCATGTTTCTTTCCCAAATCCCAACACATCCCATCGGTCCACATTGTAACCACAAGATTGAAAGATCTGCTGCAAACGAAGCTTGCCCTTCTTGGTGTGGAATTGTTTTCTGATCTCATCCCCAACTTTGCAGTTACCCCGGGAATCAATCTTCGTTGCCCGGTGCATGCGTAAGTTGATAGCATTTTGGGAAAGCCTAAGCTCCCCAGGCACTGGTCTGTATAGGTCTTCTCATGAGGCTGTTGTTGCAGGGCTGGACACACCCAAAGCTTGGTTGGAATCTTCACCCAAACTGAATTGAGGGGATAGACTTGGCTTGGCACCACCCCGGCAAGGAGTGGCTACCACTGGCACTGCCGCAGCTGTCTTCACTCCCTCTGCAGGGGTCTCAGCACAGAGTGAGGGCGATGGCACTGGTGCACCAACTTCGGGTGCAGGGATCCCTTCAACATGGTGAGTTGGTGCACGAACTTTGGTTCCAGGGCTCTCTTCAACATGTTGTGTTGTTGGGACAGAGGTCGGTGGAACTTCACCCTTTGGTTGGTGGTCCCCATCAGCATCTTCAAGAGTTGGTGCTATTGAAGGACTAGCTAGCTCTTCACTTTCACCAGTCTTATTTTCTGACTCCCTGGGAGACATTTCCACATGAGGGATAGCTTTGTCAGCTCCGGCATATTCCACAGATTGATCGAGCATATCTTCAAGAGAATCACCACACATTTGGGAATCAACAGGTTTTGCACCATCAACCTGACCAACCCCCAAACATGGACCCTCCAATGACCCTGGGCTTGGAGAGTAGTGTCGCGTAACCAAGCTCCTGGGAGAGTCAGCCTGAGTTGGCAATTGGCTGGAGCGGACCTGACCAAAACATAGTGAGGTATTAGGGGATATGGTTATGACAAATACCTTCCATAGGGTTATGAGCTATGAACCATAGGGATATTACTTGGGAATGATTTGGAAAAGAACATCATGATTACAACCACCCAAAAAGACTTTCAAATCTGACTTGGTTGAAAATTGGCACCATGCCATACCATACTGAAATTAAATTGCCAATGGGATCCAATGGAAACAATTGCTCGGCTGAGTCTAGGCACATGAACACTAACATCAGAATCGGATGCATCACCTAAATCAACGATGCCAGTCTTCCCAATGTTGGCCAACATATGCTTTGGCCAAAGCTGCCATTTCTGGGTATTCAAAGTCATCTGTTCAAGTTCACGAACACCGGCACATGCAAGGCGATCCTGGTACGATTCGGCATCCTCCTCTTTGGGTTCAACTTTGCATCGGTTGGTGGTCTCAGGGGCTGAGCTAGCAAGATGGGCTGTGTCCTCACTTTTGAGACTGACAAGTTGCCTTTCAGCTCGACTCAACTCCTTGGGCCGCCCAAAATCAATGGAGAGACCTTTTGATTATTATGGAGTAAAGGCCCATGTGGGTTGGCCATTAGGATGTATCCGTGCTCTAACATGTTTGTTTGGGGTTAGAAAGTTTCTTTGGCTAGCTGAATCTGAGCATCTTTTATTGAGGGCCGGAAGTGCCAAAAATAGAATTACAAGATTTACCAGACAAGGATCAGACTGTATTTTTTCTCGTAGCTGATCGTCCTTCTCCAGTTTTACTCTTGAAAGAAGATCTGTTGGCTGCGCTTCTACAGCAGCCACACCCCGATGCAGAGTTGAGGATGACCATGCATTGCTCTTCATCTCTTTCATGACCCCTAAAATGGCTTGAACCAAACCTGTCCCTATTCATGAGCATAGTCTCACCCAAACATGTCCAAATGAAAATAAGTTGTCATTGATCCGATAACTCCATAGATGTTATCCCCAAGTGATGCCAGTGATTTCCAACAATACATGTGAATAAGTGTGGTTCATTATGACTTCATTTGAATCCAACCCAATTCTCTCAGCACATGTCGACATGTGAACTGCACACGGTTGGCTTCGTTGCTACTTGGGTGGTTGTTCTTTTAAGTGTTAACTATGTATGATTGCTCAGCTGGAATTAGTTTGATTTCAACCAGGATAAGAACAACCATCCCAAGGACACTGGTTTTGTTTTTCAGCTAATTGGCTCGCTCTGGCAGAAAAGCCAGCAGAAGTCGAAGACTGTGCATCCAAGGGCTCAAATACCCAGATGAAATACATTTGGAGGGTACAACATGCATTCAGGATCACCCAAAAATACTACCTTTTTTTTTTTCGCCTTTTCGTCGGGGTTTTTCGCCTTTTCGTCGGGGTTTTTCGCCCTCTCAAATTTGGATTTTTTTTGCAAAAAGTTCACTAATCTGATTGCACTGGTGACAATTGGGAATTATTGCAGTAATGACTGCATCAACCCCCCATCCAACAAATCATCCTCTACGAGACTAATCTACATATCTTGGCTCCCTTTCCCGGGCCATCAAGTGGAATTCCTCCCAATCAGAGGGTACCTGGAGCCGTTTCGACCCCAATGCATAGCGCATGCAGGGCTTCAGCTCTGCTTCCTGCCAGGCAGTCCAGTGGGACTCGGAGAGAAGCTGCTGCAAGGTAGGCCGAAGATCAGCCTATCCCAGGGGCTGTGGATGGTTCTCAGAATGGATGGATTTTATTTATCAAACATCATGCTTTTGGAAGACAATCGCAAGTGAAAAGGATGGACCATTGACCACAAATACAATTAAATTGATAGAACATGACAGAACCACAGGAGAACCATTATAGTCAAAAGCCCCCAGACCCAAATGATTCAAAATAATGTCAAGTAGAGGGTGAGGCAATGTGAAGCATTTTGGGTTTGAGAAAATGTTCCACCAATCTTCCCATAAATTGTAACCTCAACTAAGTAGCTTGCCCACCTCCAGAGTGAACTTGCGTTGCTCCAAGCGAATCTCTGGCAAGGTTTCGACTATCTTTTGGGCAAAGCCACCGGGATACATCCTTACTAGAAGCTGGGTGTGAATGACCAAACAAAATGATTTCAAGTAATGGGTGATTCACAGTGATTGCTTACTATGATTATCATTCACTTTGGGATCATTGTCGCCCAGGTTTACCAAAGCACCATACAGCTCCAAATTGGGACCAGTATAAATAGCTGCTATCATGATATTTAGATCTATTGCCTTTAGTAGCACCATTGAAGACTTAAGCTGTGTTGATAATCAAAACTGGACCAATAAGTTGTATTGGTTCTTGTTGCAACGAGATTGGAACCAAAAATCGCAATGTTATTTAAGAAAGCGATGATGAGTTGGGGTTAACAGAAGTGGGCCCCCAAATGATGGTTCCAACACAATGGATTGAAATCAACATGAAACCCTATAATGACAGATGGTTGTCCCAATAGATGTTCCCTTTATCAAAGAATCCAATCCAAGGATCTGAGATTCCTTTAACCTTTTTGTCCCAGCAAATCTCTGTCGACCTGCCCGATCCACATAGCGGCGGCACAGGCTACCACCTTTCCTCATCTTTGCCTTCACCCTGGCAGAGCAACCAGGCCGTTTTTTGGATTTGGGTTTTCGGGATTTGCCATCTGGAGCCACTTGTGCATTGTGTAGCTTGCAGATTGACGCTGAGTTCGTCAATAGCATTGTTGGCTTCTTAGTGGGAGCACCATAATCTTTCATGTTGAAGACCACCCGGTAGGTCTTGGTGGCTATGGTGCATTGGTGCATTAAAAAACATAGAGGAACCGTACAAACATCACACATTAGGGAAAAATGATAATAAGGAAAAGGGTTTCAAATGCCAAAGCCACCCATGATGAAGGTGTAATTTGCTTTTTTATTTGGCTTGGGCATTTCAAACCTTTTCCACATAACTAATTTTGGCTAGGCTCTACAATACCTGCCATTTTCCGGAGAACCCTAAAAGCCCAGTATAGCCGAGGATGTAGCAGCATGGCCGAATTGCAGGGCTGTTCAATGATGTAGGTCATATGGAGACATGCCAATAAGACAACCAGCAATGCTGTCCTCTGGGGTACCCATGATAAGAACATTAAAACATCATTTTCGGGGTGTCACATTTCCAGATGGCTTCCCCTCAACAACCAACAGGCGTTACATACCCAGAACTTGGAGAAAAATCCCAAAAAATAGATTGAGAAAAGCAATGGTTGAAATCATGAACTTAATAGGATTGAGGTTTTCCATGCTTACCCACATAAAGCAACAAATCCCTTGTCCTGCTGACCATTTTGTTTCCTTTCCTGATGGCAAGGTAACATGCCTGGCCATATGGAACCAGAACATCCCGCATTGAAGTAGCTCTATTTACAATAGTCCATGTTGAGCACACCACCCCCAGTAAGGTGACCAGCTCTCCCATGTCGCCCTCCAGGATCATTAGGATAGCAAGCCTCGGCAGAAGGTGATAAGTTTGGTATGATTTCTTAAGGGGCTGGCTTTCTACCAAGCTGCATGTTTTTATGGCATACACATCACCTCATAAATTTATAAAAGCAGAGGGATCGCCAAGTAACAAGAAACCAGCCTCACCATTTATATCAAAAGCCGAGCGGTTTGCTCTCCCAGAATGTGGGGATGTGCCAGAGGGTGGTGAATCATAGGAAATATCGAAACCTCGGGCTTCATACCCCAGCACCTGCGCAAGGCGGCTGACCCTGGCCATACCGGAATAGAATTCAAGAAATTCGTATGGCCCCTCTCTTTGCCAGGGCAAGTCCACAAGCCAGCTAGCCATCAAAGTGAGATAGATAAAGTCCTTAGTTTCTTCCACTCAAAGATGGAAAAATAATGAAACATATTGAAACCAATAATGAACCAAAATATTGAGATGTTGATACCATACATATTTGAATCCAATTTAAATATAATATACGACAAGATTCTACCGGCACACCTAGTACCAGCATGCGGCGGCATGACAGGTTCAAGTCACGGGCACTGGGCTTCATAGCGCCAAAGCGGAGGACTTTTGGGTGGAGCAACAACGGGCTCTGGGAAAGGGCAATGTTGGAATCATTACTAAGAATGTTGCAAATCCCCAATCGCTTCTTTGATGCCAATTTCAATGGTTGGAATGGTTGGATGTTCTTCTTGAAACCTTGTGCAAACAAGCAGGGACCACCTGCCAGCGCACCATGCCTAGCCAGCGAAGCTTGACCCCGGCGTATCGACATCCTGCAGCGAGTAATTGGAC